GCCCGCCATGCGCCTGGCACCATTTCTGGGGCCATGGGTGAACAAGACAAATTGTCTTTTCATAGCCAGTCCTCCCCCCATGGTGCTGGTCTGACTCTGGGAAGTCAGGGTCTCCTGGTCTCCTAATGGACACATGGATGCCATCAGCCACATGCTGCCTCCATGGCCTCTGGGTCCTGAGGCTCCCCACAGCCTTGCTTTTGTGGCTGGGAAATTGAGTGTCCCTGCAGAAAGGCCGCTGCCCTAATCTCGCTTGTCGGAGGCAGCTGCCACCCAGTGGGTCCTGACTATCCAGACTTTTAAATTTTGTTTTCTTTGCATTGGGTTTTGGACCATACTCAGCAGTGCTTGGGGGCTCCTCCCACATCAGTGCTCAAGGGTCAGCGAGGTGTTGGGCACCAAATCTGGGCCATCTCCATGCAAAGCCTGGGTTCCAGTCTTTTGAGTCATCTCCGTGGCTCTGTGATTTCTAATTTTTGATTCAGAAGAGGAAAGTGAGTGTGTGTGTGTGTGTCTGTATGAGTGTATGTGTGTGTGAATGTGTGAGTTGTGTGTATGTATGTGTATGAGTGTATATGTATGTATGTGTACATATGTGTTTATATGAATGTGTATGAAGGTATATGTGTATGTGTATGTGTGTGTTTATGTGAATGTGTAGGAGTGTATGTGTGTATGTGTATATATGTGTGTTTATGTGAATGTGTGTGAGTGTATGTGTGTGTCTGTGTGAGTGTGTGTGTGTGTGTGTGTTCGTGGTGTTAAAGCTGAAGGCTGTGGAAATAACATCTCTCGGTACACACACTTTCTCCCATCTGAGACTCCAGTACTCTGGGTTCTGTGCTGTTTCCATGAGAACTCAGCCCAAGTTTGCTGAATGAATGAGTGAATAAATGAAGGAATGAGTGACATTCTCCCTTCTCCACCCTCGTCTCATTCCCCTCCCTTGGTTCCCTCCTTGGGCTGGCCGCCCTGCCTCCCCAGGCCTGCTCGACATTTCCCTTTTGGCAAGCCTGGGCTGGGGAGAGGGAGCATGACTGAAACTCCTTCCAGGAAACAGTTGTAAAATAAGTCTCTGCTGGCTGTCAGGGAACTGGGCTGGGAAGAGGACTGGTTTTACTGGGGCAGAGGGACACTGCCTGGCCAGGACTGGGGTGGCAAGGTACACGTTTGGGGTAGGGTCCTACATGAAAGCGAGCTATGAATATACTTTCACCCCCTTGTCCACACACTGAAGCCCTGATCGCCGTGTGGCTGCATTTGAAGACTGAACTGTTAGAAAGCAAGAAGGTCCCCAGTGTGGGGTTCCAACTCAATGGGATGGGTGACCTTATAAGAAGGGGTAAAAGATCTCGCGCATGCCCCGAGGAGAGGCCGTCTGAGGACACGGTGAGGTGGTGGCCATCCAGAGCCCTCACCGGAACCCAACCAGGCTGGCATCCTCCTCGCAGACTTCCAGGCTCCGGAGCTGGAGGAAACAAATGTCTGTTGTTAACCCACCAAGTCTATGGTATTATTAGTTCTTTAATGGTAATCTGAGAGGACTAGTGGGGGTGGGGGGAGGGTCCTGATCCATCCTGTCCTTTGCCATAGTCCTTCAAAGCTCAAGGCCCAGGCCCAGTTGGTTCTGGCTGCAGCCTGTCTTGGTTTGAGAGCTCTTCTTCCTAGACTTTTTAGCTTATTTGGAGGCCAAACGTGGCAGTCCTCAGGGGCTACTTTCTCTGTGCTCTGGAGTCACTCATGGTGGTGCTTATGGGATCTGTGCTGTGATGATGGGACCCGGGTCTCTGGCATGCAGACACATGCTCCAACCCATTGGGCCATCTCTCTAGACCGCCATTTATTTCATCTGAACTCTCAAGCATCCTTTCTCCCCATTCCTATTTCTGCCCCAAAACCATGGTTCTAAAGCAACAAATCTGTCAGGAATGGGGCTGGAGAGACAGCACAGCAGGTAGGGCATTTGCCTTGCAAGCAGCCAACCCAGGTTCAATTCCCAGCATTGCATATGGTCCCCTGAGCATTGCCAGGAGTAATTCCTGAGTGCAGAGCCAGGAGTAACCCCTGTGCATCACCAGGTGTGACCCAAAAAGCAAAACCCCCCCAAATCTGTCAGGAAGTCCCAGGCTGAAACACTGCCAGTATTTCCCGAGTGTTCCCTTGTTCTCTGCGGGATGAAGCCCAGGCAGGCTGCCATGTGTCCACCTGGGTGGTTGGACAGTGGTCCTGAGTCTCACTTCATTCCTCTATGGACCCAAGAAGCATTTATTCCCCCAGAGACTCTTAGCTTGGACCCCAGACTCCAGGGCCCGACTCCTGCCTCTTTCTTCTCTCACCCTCTCCTTTGGGTACCATATTATTTTTTGTGACTTGGGTCACACTGGGCTGTGCTCAGGAACGACTCCCAGCTCTGTACCTGGGGAATTGCTCTTGATGGTTGTGGGACCATGCAGTGCTGGGGATCAAAGTGGGATGGGCTGAATGCCAAACAAGTGTCTTAACCCCTGTAACCGTTTCTTAGGTTCAACGTGTTTTTTTATTTTATTGGCTTTTTGAGTCACACCTGGCAATGCTCAGGGGTTACTCCTGGTTCTATGCTCAGGAATCACTCCTGGCAGTGCTCAGGGGACCATAAAGGATGCTGGGGAGCGAATTTAGTTTGGCCGTGTGCAAGGTACCAAATTCCCTCCCTACTGTACTATCACACCCTGGCCCCTGGTTCTCCCGAGTAGTGCTCAGAGGGCTTCAGGCTCACTACTACTGATAGATGGTTCAGTGCAGGGGCTGGAGGGTGCTTGGGCACCGCAGTCCTGGGGACCACCAGGGCCACCCCAGTGCTGGGTAAAGTTTCCAGGGCCAACACAGTGGTACTCGGAGGCCTCAGGGTAACACCTGGTAGTGCTCAGCCGGGATGGCATTCAGTAGTGGGTTGAATTGGGCGTCTGCACATGTCCTCTTCCATGTGCATGGACACAGACTCCCAGGCTATACGGGACCCTCTGGAACTGCAGGTGAGTGTACAGGGGGGACAGCTGCCCCAGGTTCCTCAAGGACTCAGTTCCACATTCTCAGATCTGCCCCTGCAGTCCTGCCTTGGGCCTCAGAGCTTCGTCCAAAGCCAGGGACACCTTGGTCCCTTCCCACGACTCTGGGAATGTGGGGTCTTGGAGCTCTCTACTTCATGGCACCCCCACCTTCAATCCCAGCTGCAGCTGGATCTGGAGAAGGGGGGGTCTCTTCAGTCCTGGATCTGGGAGCAGCTGCTAATTCTGTTCCCTTGGCCTGGGGTGAAGAGAAGGGGCCGGGCTGGAGCGATAGCACAGCGGGTACGGTGTTTGCCTTGCATGCGACCGACCCGGATTCGATTCCCAGCGTCCCATATGGTCCCCCGAGCACCGCCAGGTGTAATTCCTGAGTGCAGAGCCAGGAGGAACCCCTAAGCATTGCCGGGTATAACTCAAAAAGCAAAAAAAAAAGAAGAGAAGGGGTCACGATGGGTTCAGGAAGAGAGTTTCACCCCTTTCCTCTTGCCTCTTAGGTGAGAGGCAGGGCATCTTATGGGCCAAGTGACTTGTGTGTGTGGGGGGGGAGGAGGGAGTGTGAGGGTGGATTTCGGGGAGGCTTCAGCTATGGTCAGTGCCCAAGTAAGCTGTCTGCTGTGGGTGGGGGCACTGGGGTGTTGTCCCGCCAGGACACAGCCACACCCTGCCATGTCCAAGCCTTCTGTTCAGGGACACCCTTGTGTGAAGACAGAAACTCTTTTCAGTTTTGAGGGGGCCACACATGGCAATGCTCAGGAGTTCCTCCTGGCTCTCCACTGAGGAATCATTCCTGGTGGTGCTTGGGGGACCATCTGGGGTGTCGGGGATTGAACCCTGCCTGGCTGTGTGCAAGCACTCTGGCCCAGACACTTTATTCTTTGTGCTACACAGGCCCCTGGTATGGAGGGGGCTTTCTGCTAGCCCCCTCTGTGATCCTGAGAAGCCTATCTGTATTTTGCAGTCTGTGCCAGTCCCCAGATCCTGTGGACTGGTCTCAGCAGGCCCTGCTAGGCCAGAGCTGCTTCAGCCTGGTTTCCTTTTCTGGCTTCAGATCACAGCAGGGCGGGCAGTGGGAGAGGGCAGGCATGGGCCCTGTACTGGGAAAGCGGCTTCCTCTGGGGGCCACCAGGGCCACTCGTGAGAGGGCCCAGGTCTGCAGAAGAAGCGACTCCAGTCTCAGTGGCCGGGGAAAGACAGAGCAATTTCTGGAGTGGGGTTGGGGGCTCCTGGGGCGGCCTAGCAGCCTGTTTGCATTCTTGACTCTCTGCTGCCCCCGTGTGGTCAGGAGACTAATTCATACAGCGGAGGGGTGGGGGTAGAGGGGTGTGTGTGTGTGTGTGTGTGTGGAGGGGGTGTATGAAATAAAATGAAGGCAACTGTGATTCCACCAGAGAACTATTGCTTACCAAGAAAACACGGGGCTGATATTCTTTTGCTAAGAAGGAGGTTAGGCACGGCCTGGGAGGAAGTGGGTCCCCTGGACCCCAGAGCAATCTCCTTCCTGCAGAACTGTCCCTAGCAGGCAGGCTGTGCCAAGGCACCTTTGTCCTGGGAAAGCTTTCCAAAGGGCTGTCAGGTAAGCAGCTGTGGCGGGAACGTCCCGGACCATCCTCAGTCGTGCCTGTGCCCTCGTGGCTGGGACAGACCCCCAGGGGCTGCCAGGTGCAGTATCCAGACCAGGGCAGCCAGGGGACCTCAGAAGTGGTTTCCATGTTGCGGGGTGTGTGCGTCCTGAGACGGGAATGTGATTGAGAGTGACAAGGGGCTTCATAAGATGCCGAGCAGAGTCCAGGACAGTTGCTCCTTTAGGGCTTGCTTGAGGAAACTGAGGCCCGGGCGAGGGTCTTCCTGACGAAGGTCAGCCCTGAAGGGACAACAGTCTCTCCTCCATTCAGCAGACAGGGTCCCTGGGGTGGTCACACCCCTGTTCAAGGGGCCGGGGCGAGGAGCGTGCTCGGGCCCTGGTGGCATGCTTAGGCCCTCTCCGGGCCCCGCAGCAGGGCTTCCACAAGGCCCAGCACCTGTGCGGCTGGCTGCACTGCGTCGTACTCCGTGAAGAGGTGACACACATTCTCCTGGGACTCGGTCTGACTCTTGGCGACAAACCCAAAGATCCTGGAGGGAGAGGGCAGCTAGAGTGAGTGGGGCCAATCCCTGAGGGTCAGTTGGGCCTCCTCCGTTGGAGGGCTCAGGACTCAAGAGCAGGGTTTCATGGTGTAGTGGGGAGGGTGCTTGCCTTGCACATGGCCGACCAGGGTTTGAGCCCCAGCATCCCATATGGTCTCCCATATTGTCCCCTGGGCCCACCAGCCAGGAGTAACTCCTGAGTGCAGAGCCAGGAGTAACCCTTGAGCACTACTGGGTGGGAACCCCATACCAACACCCCCCCTAAAAAAACCCAGTCTGGGTTTCCCTCCATCTGAGTTGGAGGTCCCCAAGATCAAGAGGTCAGCATGGAAACTTCCTGAAGGCAAGGACAGGTCTCCATTGTCTGACTGGGGCATCTGCAGAGATCAAGACTCCCCCACCACAGTGGGGGATCCCTGAGGGCCTGCATCTGTATCCCCTCATCAGAGCCCCCCCCCCCCCCCCCCCCCCATCCCCAGCATCCTTTCTCCTGGCCTATCCCAGTAGGGCCTTACCTGGAGGGCTTGCAGTACTTCTGCCACCTGCAGGAGAGAAAGGTTCAGGGCAGGGATGAGCATGGGGGCTGGGTTCCATCTCCCTCCCTAGCAGGGGCGAGTACACCCCCACGCACCCCCCTTCTAAGTCCCCTCCCGGTGGGTTCTGTTCACAGACTGTCTCTGGGGTCCCAGCTCCAGAGTCAGCCAGATGTCCCCTGGACATACTTGCGTTGCTCAGGGTCCAGGCCGCAGAAGCGCAGGGTGGAAAGGGGGTAATGGCGTCGGAAGAAGACCCTGAGAGGAGGCAGAGTGGAGGGGAGCTGGTGAGTGTCCATGCTGGTGTCTTGCGGCCCCTCAGTGTCCCCCACTTAGACCCAGAGGCTCCTTCAGTCTCAGCCCTCCCTCCCCTCCAGCAGGCCTCAGGAAGCAGCGAGGTCCTTACTTCCGCTGGACATCAGTCAGGGTGATGCCCTGCTCTGTGACTCTGAAGTGGACCACGGTGGGTGTGGGGAGGACGTCCCTCTCCAGGGTGGTGGACACGGCCTTGCGCACGGCCAGCTCTCCGGTCAGAGTCTCCACACTCACGGAACTCAGGTATAGCGCATGACAGCCTGTAGGGTGGGGGGCAAGGATTCATGGGATGGGTGGTGACCCCTGACCCCTGTCCTACCTCTACCCAGGTCAGGCGCCTTCAGGAATAGGGAAGAGGAGACATTCCTTTCAAAGCTGAGAGTGATTTCTTTGTGGGCAGTGCATGTGTTCATGTGTGCGTGCATCCGTGTGTGCATGCATCTGTGTGTGCATGTGTGTGTGTGTGTGCCTACAATTGGGGGCCCAGCCCAGAGGATTCTGGAGTGCCTTTTGCTTTGCATTACTCCAGGGCAGGACTGGAAGAGATGCTGGCCTGTGGGTAGGGGATGCTTCCAGGCAAACGTTCCATCTGCCCACACCCTGGCTGGCTCCATCTGTCTCTAACCAGCTTGGCCCTCCTCCATTCATTGTTGAGAGAAGAGAAAAGAGAAAGGGGAGAGGGCCCCCCTCCACTTAGGGGCCAGTGGGAGATGTCTGGGGTCCAGAGATGTCCAGCATTTGACCCCCTGCTGAGCATCCCAGATCTGGAGGCCAGGGGTGGTCCCATCCTCTGCACACTGGGGTGTAAGTCTGCCTCCCCCTCCCAGGCCCCCCTCTCCCCAGCCCCCTGCCTGCACGTCTTTCTCCAGCTGCCTGTTTATGGGAGGGGAGGAATGTGGCACCTTGTTAAAGATGAAGCTATTCAGTTCTGATGGGAAACATGTGTGGACCTGCGTTTGTGCATGCGTGCGTGTGAGTGTGCGTGTGTGTGTGTGTGTGTGTGTGTGTGCGTGTACACGCGCACGCACGTTCTGGGCTCTGGGGTGACACAGCCAAACCGGGGAGGGTCTTGTTGCACCTTTGCTCACTCAACTCACCGGCAGTTTTTTTCAGGCTGGACGCCAGGCCATCTGTGGAGGGGTCGGAGGTCCCGCCTCCACCTCCTAATTCTGTGCCAAAGCAAAGGAACAGGCCCCAGGCGGGGGCGGGGCAAGTGAACAACAGCGCCCGCTCCCTTAGGCACCGCCTCCGCCCCCCCATTCCCTTTGAACATCCCCCACCTCCACCCCCAGCTCCGGAAGTGACTGCTGTGAAGCCAGGTGTGATTACAGTAATGAGGCAAAAGGGGTTTTGGTTTCCCCAAAAGGACTAGCTGGAGCCAGCCCGGGCTCTTTGATCTCTCCTCCCCCAGACCTCAGGCTCTGGATCCCTCAAGCCAGAACTTTGTGCAGGGGTAGGGAGAGAAGGGAGGGAACTGCTCCCCATCATTTCATGGGGGCCACCCTGGTTCCTCTCAGAGGTGATTTACTGTGGGGTGAGGCTAGGCTGTGAGCTGCAGAGGAAACTTCACTCTTTAGAGAGTGACTTCACTTCTCCAACTCTCTTTCTATTCCTCGGTTTGTTTTGGGGCCACACTAGGCGATGCTCAGGACTCACTCCAGGCTCTGAGTTCAGGAATTCTTCCTGGCCGTGCTCGGAGGACCATACGGGATGCTGGGGATCCAACCCAGGTTGGCCGCGTGCAGCACAAGTCCCCTGCCCACTGGACTGTCGCTCTGGCCCCATCTCCAACCCTCTTTGGGTTGTTTCCTTTGGGGGCTACACACCAAGGTGTGGAGGGACCATGCAGTGCTGGGACACAGACCTGGGCTCTCCCACGCACAGAGTCTGTGCTCTAGTGCCCTGCGTGCCCCCTTAGTCCTGAACCTTCTTTTTCTTCTCTGTGAAATGGGGGTGATCAGCAATAACTGCGTGGAGTGAACGAAGCAAGGGCCCAATGCAAGTGGGGCCTAGAGCGGAAACAAGGCAGGTTTCCGTTCCTTCGGGGCTCCCAGAGAAGACTAGCACTGACCCAAGCCTTCCTGCTGAGCCAGGCACCGTGCAGTGCCCCGGGCACCCACAGGCTCTACCCTCTTCACAGATGCGGAGACTGAGTTGAGGTCACGGAGCAGTGACCAGTGACCCTTTTCCAGCCGCACCGGGGAAGCGGAGCTGGAGAGGGACCCCAGAGCATGTTCTTATCACCGGGACCCCAAACTCTGCCCCCAGTACACGAGACACACCTTTCTGTGGGATGGTGAGCTTGCAGGGCAGGGCCAGCGCCATGATGGAGTGTTGGCACACGAAGGCAGAGAGGCTCCCTGGGGGAGAACAAGCAACTAGGCATGATGGGGCTGCCCCCATCCCTCCACTCCCAGCCCAGGGTCTAGAAGCTGGGGGTGTGGGGGTCCACTCGGGGAGGTGGTAGGGGGTGGGGAAGAGGCTCACCAAAGTAGGGTTCCTCGTCTGCTCCTTTGAGGCGCACTCCTTTGGCAGAAGACTCAATGAGAAAGTGGCGGATGAGGTCACTGCTGTCTTGGCCTGGGGGTCGGGGGAGGAAGAGCAGAGAGATGGGGAGCCCCGGGAGTCAATAATGTGTCAGCTTTGCTTATGGGCTATCCCCTAAAATGGTCCCTGTTGGAGTCTCTCTGGGCTTTGAGCTATGATGGATGATTCTGAGCCAGTTTAGATCACACCCTGGTGGGGGGGTGGGGTCCGGAGCGATAGTACAGTGGGGAGGGTGTTTGCCTTGCACATGGCCAACCTGGCATCCCTTATGGTCCCCTGAGCACCACTAGCACTAATTCCTGAGTGCAGAGCCAGGAGTAATTCCTGATCATCACTGGGTATGGCCCAAAAAGCCAAAACGACAACAAAAAATTAGACTTTGGTTCTGCAGACCACGATCTCTCCCCCAGCCACCACCTCAGGGGCTACTGTTCGCCACTGGGAGGTCCCTGCTGGCTCTGGGGGGTAGACAGTGCTGCTCTGCCTCTTTTCACCAGCCCGCTGGGGACCGTATGGTATGGAGGTTGGGAGCTGGGGCTCCAATTTGCAAAGCATGCATTCCAGCTCTTTGTACCTTCTGCCGGGCCTTGGGCTCCTTGTTCGTTTTTTACTAGTGGTCAGGTGCTACTTCTGATTCTGAGTTGGAGTGTCACCTCCAGCAGTGCTCAGGGGATGCTGCAATGCTGGGGAATTGAACCTGAGCCTCCTGCGGGCTTTGTGTGTGCTTAGCCCAACCAGCTTTCTCTCCAGCCCCTCAGGATCAGAGAGATGAGCTGAAGAGAACACGGGCTTGAGTTCGCATGCTCGATCTTCTTGCTCTAGGGGTCGCTAACTCAGAACCTTATGTGTTATGCTTTGTTTTTTATTTTTTATTGGGGGGGGGGGGACTCCACAACCAGTGGCACTCAGGGCTTGTTCCTGGTTCTGCGCTCAGGGGTCACTCTAGACAGGCTCAGGGGACCATATGGGGTGTTGGGTATTGAACTGGAGTTGACTGTGTAGAAGGCAAGCACCCTACCTGCAGTACTATCTCTCTGGGTCCTGGTCCCAGAGCTTCATATGAAAAGAATGATTCTGGGGTGGTGGGAGGGATCTCCCAGGTACCTCGGATTGTCATGATCTGATTTGATCTGTCTGCCCAGGAGGGGCCCCCAGGGCCTCACAAAGTGGGGTGTAGAGCAGATGTGTGTGAGGGTGGCCCCACGGGGAAGTCCAGGATAAGACAGCACATACCAGTAACTTAGTACACATGTATTTGGACTTGGAAACCTGTGGGGGACAGAGGAGGACACCCCAAAAGAGAGCAGCCTTGAAGGGGCTGGGGTCTTCCTCTTCTGACCATGAGAGAGAGCGAAGCTGGGAACTGGGGAGAGCAGAGGCAGATCAGGCTTAGAGTATAAGGCAGGCCCACTCCTGGAGACAGCTGGGAGGGCCTGGCACATCGACTTCCCGGGGGTCCTGATGGAGCTGGCCCTGGGTTACCTTGTCCCCTGGCAGCAGAGCAGGATTTGAACCCAGTGCTGCCTGGGCCCTCCAGGTGCTCTTTTTTTTTTTAGCTTTTTGGGGTCACACCGGGCGATGCTCAGGGGTTACTCCTGGCTCATGCACTCAGGAATTGCTCCTGGCAGTGCTCAGGGGACCATATGGGATGCTGGGAATCGAACCTGGGTCGGCCGCATGCAAGGCAAATGCCTGACCTGTTGTGCTACCACTCCAGCCCCTTCCTTCAGGTGCTCTTGAGTGGGGTCTGGGATAGAGCCTTACCTGGTCGATTCTGTGCAGGTGCCAGGGATTCCTGCACCTTTAAGGCCAGGCCGAAGGAGCCTCGGTAGGAAGAGCTGTCTCTCACGACGAATGTCCCCGGCTCCTCCTTCCTTAGCAGCTCGATGGCTGGAAGAATCTTGGGATCAGAGTCACAACCTGCCACCCTCACCCCCGAGCACTGCCTCCCAACCCAGGAGGGTCTTCCTGGAGCAGACCTTCAGAATCACCTTTTGACCCGGGAGTGCTTTCTGTGGTTCTGACCTCTTTTCCTGCTAGTCTCTGCTTCTTGGGGTCCTGAGATCATTTGCCAGCCCCTGCTATCCACTCCCCCATGACTCAGGGGCCTGTGTGGGCTGCCTGTGTGGGTTGCAGGACCCAAACCTAATCCCCCCATCTCTCAACCGTTAAATTCAGCTTCCCGTTACCTTGCTCTCGGGTGATGTTTGGCTTAAACCAGAACTTAGAGGTGTCCATCACAAACTTCATGGTGGGCTGCATGTCCCTAGTGGGTCCTAGAGACAGACAGAAGTGACACCTATAGGCTGGACAGAGGGGAGCCGAGAGGTACCCCCTCCTCTGCCCAGAGACCCAGTCCAACCCCTTCTCTCCACTGTATCTCCAGTTGCCCATGAAGGAAGGAGCCAGAATTCTAGGACTTGTCACTTCTCAAATTTAGGAGTCTTCTTTGTATCCTTAGTAACCAACCACAAGTAAATAAAAATGTTTCTGTAATGAGAAACAGTTTCTCAAGCTTAAGATTGCCTGTGGGGAAATCAGGAGCCAGAAGAGCCTCGGAGGCCTGGAGGGGTAGGACAGGGGATAAGGCACTTGGCACTCGCCCTGCATGAGGCCAATCTGGGGTCAGTCCCCGGCACCGCCTATGGTCCCCTGAGCATTGCCAGGTGTGTCTCAACATCCCCCCCCACCAAAAGAAAAACCCCCAAACTGAAGGGATTCTGAGATGCCTCTTTTGTTTGGAGTGTCCTTAACAACCTGATGAGTTCCTTGTATATATGACTTGGAGAAGAAAATGGAAGGGCGGGTGAAGGGAGGGAGACAGCAGGTCTGAGGGGGGAGGAAGTGCTTGGAAGGCGGAGGATGCAAGCCCCTCTCCACAGAGGCGGGCCACTGTCTTGCTCCCGGAGCCCAGAAGGCGCTGAGGAAACTAGAAAAGCACTTAGGGCCTTGGTCTTCCATTAGGGAAGGAAAGCTCGAGAACGCTCTGCAGGCGTTGATAAGATCTCAGGAGAGTGATATCCTGGGCCACCACTGACCAGGATGGGACTATCCCCTAAAATGCTCTGAGGTGCCAGGATGCCTCAAGCAGGGTCCCTGTAGGGCAGCGGCTTTCCACACAGGCCTCCAGAGAAGCTGTGTCGTGGCCGTGTGAGAGAGTCCAGGTGCTGGGCTGGGGCACATGGGGCAGAGCAAAGTCCTTGCATATTTGAGACCCTGGGTTTAATCCCAGGCAGGGCATGAACCTGGAGCACTGATAGGTGTGCACCGCCCCCCCCCCCCACCTCCCTAGCGCAAGAAGAAAAAAGAAAAAAAAACATTCTAAAATCTGGGGCTAATATGTTCCTCAGAACCCAATCAGCAGATTCAAAGGCTTAGCTGTTCAGTCTGTTTCTCTGGCTGTGGCTTTGTGTGTGTGTGTGTGTGTGTGTGTGAGAGAGAGAGAGAGAGAGAGAGAGGGAAAGAGAGAAAGCTGGAAAGACTGTGGGTGGAACGCTGCTCCCCCACCTCACCCCCCAGTCACCCCGGCGCCTGCCGCCCAGTGAGTGAGGCTGAGCTGCCCCCCCTCCCCCGCTCCCCCCCCCTAGTGTGTCTCCCGGCTGCTCAGGCTCAGCTCCTAGTCCCCGCCTTGGGTTCTGCTTGGCGCTTTCTTTCTGGGAAGGAGGGTGTCTGCAGGTCTGTGGGCTTTAGCTGTCTGCCGTGGAATGCGTTTTCTACCCCCTCTGTGGGTCGTCATCCCTGCAAGCACGCACACACCCACGTCAGCCACTGGACACACTTTCTGGGCTTAGTCATCGAGCCCACTGGTGCCACAGCCCCACGGTCTCAGGCCTCGCTCCGCCCGCCAGCCCTGGCCCAGGCTCAGGTCCATTAAGGCCTGTGGGGGCTGATTTGTGATGAAATGCAAATGGAGCCAAAGTTAAGCTGCTCTCAGGCCCCAGACCTGAACCTTTGTAATGCCTCAGCTACGCTGTGCGTCCAGGGTCAAACACCCTCTTTATATGGGTGTTCATGACATTCCATAATCTGGCGCCAAATATCCCTCCATGATCTAACCATGCACCCAGCCTGGCAGTCACTTTCTAATCACGCCTTGGACGCCCACATTTTTATGATCATGCACTCGCCCATCTCTCATGGGAAATACCCTCCTTTTCCTGCATGGGCCAGACATTTTTTTTTTTTCTTTTTTTGGAGAGGGTCACACCTGGCGATGCACAGGGATTACTCCTGGCTCATGCACTCAGGAATTACTCCTGGTGGTGCTTGGGGGACCATATGGGATGCTGGGAATCGAACCGGGGTCAGCCATGTGCAAGGCAAATGCCCTACCTGCTGTGCTATTGCTCCGGCCTCGGACTAGACTGTTTGATCCAATTTCCAGATCCAGCTCAAGCTCCTTCCAGATCTCTGGGATCAAAGGGTCATTCTTTGTTCTGTCATCAGAACAGGACATTTCACCACTCATCCTTGGACTCATGTAAAACTGGAGACACCACTGTCTCAGCACGTGTATTTGCCTGTGTTGGTGTGTGTGTGTTGGTGTGTGTGTGTGTGTGTGTGTGTGTGTACTGTGGTCAGGGGACCATGTGGTGCTAGGGAGGAAACCCAGGGCTCCTGCATGCCAAGGCTGTGCTCCAGCCCCTTAAGCACCTCCACAGCTGCTCATCCTTGTTTTTGTCCTGGCTCATAGACTCAGGAATAACTCCTGGCGGTGCTTGGGGGACCATATGGGATGCTGGGAATCGAACCCGGGTCAGCCACGTGCAAGGCAAACACCCTACCTGCTGTGCTATTTCTCTAGCCCCTCATCCTTGGGTTTGTGTCTCTCTCCCTCAATTTGCCCCTCTCTGCAGCCCACTCCTGGCACACAGTGCTTCCACACAGTAGTTATTCCTGCAGGGTGCTTGCTAGCCCTTGCAGAAGCCCATGTGCAATGCTGAGGTACGGTTGTGACATACCCTCCAGGGATGCGGTGGGCGAGGCCTCTGGCAGGGTCTGGCTGTGGCTTCTGATGGCTGGCCCTGGGGAGCTGGCAGAAGCAGCCCCGGATCGGACAAGGTCCTGGGGTCCCAGGTTTCTCTGGGATGGAGGAGATCCTGGTTCTGGGCGGCCGTTGATCAGCACAATGGGTATGTCCACCATGGAGTTGGTGATGGATGGGGGGCAGCTGCTGGCATGCTCCTTGGCCAGCGGTGGGGAGTGGGTTGCTCCGGGAGAGCCCAGGCTTGGGGTGGGGGTGCTGGGGACCTGGAGGTCGCTGGCTCTTATACACGGGGACCCTGGTCCAAGGCTGTGGAGGCTGGAGGAAGAGTTGCCTGGGCTGTCCGAGGATCTGCAGGATGACCGATGGCTGCAGACGCTGGAGTGGGGCAGGGACTGGCTACTGCAGGGGGAAACAGCAGGAAGTTAGTGGGAGAAGGGGTGTTGACGGGTGAAGGGGCAGTTGGGGGCCAGAATCAGGAATGTTGTGAGCTGGGTATGCTTGGTTTTGGTCAACTAGATCCTGGCTTGGCCGTGTGCAAGGCAAATGCCCTCCCCACTGTACTATCCCTCTGGCCCCAGACCCCTGAATTTTAATCTAAATGCTGACAGAAAGATGGCAATGTGGTGGCTGGGATGCATAGAAAAGTGTGTGTGTGTGTGTGTGTGTGTGTGTGTGTGTGTACGTGTACCACTCTTAGAGACCAGAGCAAAGGGTATGTCACATAGTCTGCAAGGGGTGCTGAAGGGTCCAAGAGATGTCCCCATCCAGAGTCTGCACCCTTTTAAGTAGCAGGCCATATGGGTGTGGGCTGGAAACCCTGGGTCTTCCCAGCCAGGCTGGTCTAGGGGAGCCCCCATGGTTTACACCCCTCTCATCCTGTAGCAGGTAGTCTGGGTGTCCCCCAACTCCATCCTCCCTCATCTCTCAGCAGGTGGCCCAGGGTGTCCCCTGGCCAGGGCAGGAGAGGGAACCCTCCAGTGAGAGGGGGGGCTCTGCAGCCAGCCTGACCCCCCAGCTCAGAGGCGCTCCAAGCCAGGCTGTGCTACCCAGGAGCTGTAAATAGGTATAGTGGGTTCGGAGTGGTGTGGGGGGAGGGGCCCGCTGGGCTGGACTTCCTGAGCAGGACATGTATGGCAGCCCCATTGTCACCACCATGTCGCAGGACTGGGTGACTCAGGAATGCTGGCTCACCTCCTCTTCGGCTTTGCCCACAGCAAAGAGGAAGAACCTTTTCTTTCCTAAACAGGTCCCCCACCAGACTTCCAGACTCTGTATACCTGTTTTTTTTGTTTTTTGTTTTTGGGGCACACCCGGCGTTGCACAGGGGTTACTCCTGGCTCTGCACTCAGGCATTACTGCTGGTGGTGCTTGGGGGACCACATGGGATGCTGGGAATTGAACCCGGGTCAGTTGTGTGCAAGACAAATGCCCTACTCGCTGTGCTATTGCTCCATCCCCTATATGCCTATGTTTTGAGATTAAAAAAATAACAAGGAAATTTCCAGGTGAGCTGGGAGGGGCCCAGCAAGTTCCACTAACAAGGTTCTGGATCTAAGAGGTTGTATGAGTCTAGACTTTTGGATATTAAATCATAATTTCTTTTCTTTTGTTTGAGCACTACAGTGCTCAGGGGCTACTCCTGGTTCAGTGTTTGGAGAGTCATGTGGTGTTGGGGATTGAACCCAGAGACCTCCTGTGTATAAAACTTATGTTCAGCCCAGTATGTTCTCTCTATGCGTCCTGAATCTTAATTCTTTTTTTTTGTTTTTTGAGGAGGGTACACCCAGCTGTGCTCGGGGCTTCCTCCTGGCTCTGCTCTCTGGGATCACTCTTGGCTGTGCTTGTTGGGGGTCAGGGATGACCATATGTGGTACTGGGGAGTAAACCTGGTTAGGTTGCATGCAAGGCAAGTAAGTACCCTTCTGGTCCCTTAACTATGTTTTTGGGACATACCTGGGGGTGCAAAGGAAACCCTATGTAGTACCAGGGATAGAACTCATATTGGCCTCACCTCTGTACTATCTCTCCAGACCCTGAATTTTTTTTTTTTAATGCATTTGCTTTATTTTTTATTTATTTATTTAGCTTTTTTGGGGTCATGCCCAGCGATGCTCAGGTGTTTCTCCTGGCTCTGCACTCGGGAGTTACTCCTGGCAGTGCTCGTGGGACCATATGGGATGCCAGGGATCGAACCCGGGTTGGCCCTGTGAAAGGCAAGTGCCCTCCCTGCTGTATTATCACTCCGACCCCAGACCTCTGAATCTTCATCTAAATGCTGAGGGAAAGACGGCGATGTGGTGGCAGGGATGCATAGAAAACCATGTGTGTGCATGTGCGTGTGCGTGTGTGTGCTCAAGTGTTCTCACATGCACACACATGCATGTGGCAGAGGTAACCGGAGACAATCTCATGCCAGTAACTTACCTTCCGAAGTCGTAGCTGATGTCAGACGCTGGGCTGGCCGACAGTACAGAGACCCGGCTACCCCGCTGACGGGCTGTAGTGCCCAACCCCTTCTCCAGACTTGGAGAGGTCCCCCAGGTGAGGCCCAGGTCATGGGGGCCCGAGGCCCTGTGCCCCAGGGGTGGGATGGCAATGCTGGAAGAGGCCGAGGAGTGACCAGAGGGAACCCCGCAGTGGGGCAGGAGGCGCTGGTGCCCCCTTCCCTGATTCCCCGAGAAGATGAGGCTCTCGCTGCTGCTGCGGGTCTCTCTGGGGACATCTCTGGAAAGGAGCAGGCCTCCGGGGTGGGCGGAGCTGAAGGGCGGGGTGACGGTCGGGCTCAAGCTGTGTGGGGGGCCCTCGTGGCACCGTGATCTGGTGGAGCTCACCTCGATGTACTTGATATCTTGGGGGGAAGAGAACAAAGTGAGGGTGAAAACTGGAGCTGCCTGTAGAGTGGGGAACTGAGGCAGAGGAGAGCAGTAATTTGGCATTAGCTCTGGCCCTTTATGGGAAGGTGCCTCTTGCCCTGGACTGGAGGGGGTGGGGTGAGCCAGGCCATCAGCTGTCACTAACTACCAGACAGCTTTCCACCAGTGGCATGTCACGTGGCACCTCGCTTTCGGCACCTGTGATACGGGGCATCTGTCCCCACCCCTGTGTTACATAATGATGAAATGGGGTGTGTATGCGTGTGGGTGGGTGGGTGGCTTGGTACATTGTGCACTATTATAAATTTTTGTTTGTTCGGTGTTTTGGGCCACACCCGGTGATGCTCTGGGATCACTCCTGGCAGGACCTGAGGGACCCGATGGGAGGCTGGGGCTTGAACCCAGGGCAGCTGTGTGCAAGGCAAGTGCCCTCCCTTTTGTTCTATCTCTCTGGCTGAGACTTATGAGGTAAGGAGGTGGCTCAAAGGACTGAGCAGCACAGTTGGCACGTGGGTATCTGGGCTGGGGCACCCCCCTACTCCCCGCCTCACCACACAGCCCCCCGAGCATGGTTGGGTGTGGCCTCCAAATAAAACAAAACTGGGCACCGTCTCCGTCAGTGAAATAACCTTCTCTTGGCGGGGGTGGGGCAGGGGATGAGAAGCTGTGCCAGTCAGTGTTGGTGTCTGTGCTGGTGGTGGAGGGGGAATGTGAAGGTCACGGTGGGTTCTCTAGCTCCAGTGCTCACTGAGTAGACATAATACCCAAACTGCTCTGAGCCCATTAGACCAGAATGGTGGGGGAAGAATCGGGGGCCCTCAGAGTTTGTTTTGCTCCCTAGGTAATTTCGCTGTGTCTCCAGCCTCCCCACCTTTCCTGGGAGCTGCTGGTGTGCCCATGCCTGGGGACGACCAGAATGTTCCGGAGAGACCGCTCTAGGGTAGGAGAGGGGCTGGAGCACTTGACTTGCATGCCTGTAGCCCCTGCAGGGCCTCCTGAGCACTGCTGGGCATCACCCCCACTGGCTCCTAGCACCCCTGGCCACTAGCACCACTGGGGAGCGCTCACCCCAAAACCAAGTTTGACGAAAAGAAAAAAAATTTCACATTTGTGAGCTGGGGGTGTGGAGGAGCCATTGAGTTGATCTGGTTCCCACACCCGCCGGCTGCTGGCTCATGCTGGGTCTGTCGGTGTGATGCCCAGGGGTCCTGCTTTCTCCTAAGAGTGGGGAACCCCGCGGTTCTCCCCTTGGTGAGGATGAGTACCCCTCCTCCTGGGTGGGGGCGGAGCTATCCTCAGCTGTAACAGAGAAGGTGGGGTTATTCCATTCTTCCCTTCTGGAGCACAGGGGTCCTGCCTCTGGCTTCCCAGGATGGAAATGGGATGGGGGGGGGGGGCTGAGGCGGGTGGACACAGGGACACAAAGTGGGCAGAAAATGGCTCTCACAGTTCTGGTGGGCTGGCACCTGCCTACCTCACCGCCACCCCCATGCCTGGCGTCCTTGCCTGTCCCAGCACGCTCCTGGGTAAGGACGTGGTCCGCTGAATGCCTCTGTCTGAGCCCGCTAGCATGGGGTGGGGGAGGATTGCGTCAGCACGGGTGGTTGGCAGGCTGACCTGGGTTTGCTGCCCTGCGGGGCAGGGTGGGGTGGGGTTGTCATCAGATGTACAGGCTGGGGAGTGAGCACAGAGGGAGGGTAGACTGAAGGCGGGAGCCTGGGGTTTTAATCCCAGGATTTAATCATGGTCCTCTGAGCACCAAGCCAGGATCATCCGCTGAGCACTGTCAGGTGTGGCTCCAACCAAACCAAACCAAACCTGGATATGAGTCTTGGCTTTGCCATTTTCCCTACAAGGCTTCAGATCACTTTCCTATTTTGGAACTTCAGTTTCCTCACCTGCAAAGCAGGGCTTTCATTCAACCTCATGATTATTTTTTAAATGTATTTTTGGCTATTTGGATCATACCTGGCGATGCTCAGGGCTGACTCCTGTCTCTGCACTCAGGAATTACTCCTGGTGGGGCTTGGGGAACCATCTGGGATGGTGTGATTGAACCTGGTTGGCCGCGTGCAAGGCAAATGCCCTATCCATTGTATCATTGCTCTGGCCCAACTTCCTGAATTACATCGGTGGGGGGTACTTGAGTTTGGCCCAGGGAGGCATCAGGGGCACCTCCCACCTGGTCAGTTCTGGCCAGGGAGCTAATACTACCTGGTTGAATGGGGTCCTATTGCTGAGGGTAAAAGAAGCTTTATTTTTTGGGCCATGACTAGCAGTGCTCAGGGCTTACTCCTGGCACTGTGCTCAGAGATCACTCCTGGCAGGTTCAGGGAACCACATGGGATGCTTTGGATCAAACCTGGGTCAGCTGTGTGCAAGGTAAGCACCCTATCAGCTGTACTAGCTCTCCAGCCCCAAAGGAGCATATTTGACAGCAAGTGTGACAGACTCTGAAAAAGTCAAGTTCTTGAGATGGGATGGAAGCTTCTAGAAGGTTGACAAGCACAGCTCCCATCTTGATACCTTTTGAGTGCTGACACTTTACGGGCTCACAAAGTGCTTTTGCCTGGTGCTGGCAGGCATTTCTCTGGAGAAGAGGAAACCATGGCTCAGAGATGTGAGGGCATGGAGCTCACGTGTACTGCACAGTTTAGAATGAAGGGCTGGCATTTCTGGACTGCTATATGCCCACTCAGTTACAAACTTGTTACTTGCTTACCCTTTGCAACAGTTCCACTGAGGCTGGGTATTTGGGGTCACAACCAACAGTACTCAGGGGCCACTCCTGGGTACTTGGGGGACTTTGTGGTGCCAGGGATAGAAATAACTGATTCTGGGGCTGGAGAGATAGCACAGCGGGTAGGGCGTTTGCCTTGCACGTGGCCGACCTGGATTTGATTCCCAGCATCCCATATGGTCCCCTGAGCGCCGCCAGGAGTAACTCCTGAGTGCAGAGCCAGGAGTAACCCCTGTGCATCACCAGGTGTGACCCAACAAGAAAAAAAAAAAGAAAGAAATAACTGATTCCAAGGGCTGGAGCGATAGTATAGTATAGTATAGTGGGTAGGGCATTTGCCTTGCACAGGCTGACCTGAGTTTGATTCCCAGCATCCTATATAGTCCCTTGAGTCTCACCAGGAGTGATTTCTGAGTGCAGAGCCAGGAGTAAACCTTGAGCGTGACTGGGTCGCTGGGCGTGGCCCAAAAACAAAGGCAAAAAAAAAAAAAAGAATTACTGATTCCAGGCCTGGAGGGAGAGTAGAGTAGGGAAAGTGTCCTGTATGGGGTTCAACTCCAAGCACGGCATGTGGTGCCAGGAGTGATCCCTGAACACAGGACCAGAAGTAAGCCCTGAGCACCACTGGGTAGGGCCAAAACCACAGAACAAAATAACAACATCAACAAAACAAAGAGAAAAAAGAAAAAATATTGAATTCATACGATGGATGAAAAAAATCAGGGCCCAGTTTACAGGAATCACTGACCCCCACAACTGGAGAATCCTGTGCTGTGTCTTTTGGGAGGGTCTCTTCCTGGAGAAGGGGCATCTCAGGACCATTTCCCAAGCCTGGCTCTGTGAGGAAGTGCTCAGCTGCTTTGGGGAAGGGTGCTGGGGGGCCCCTGCTTGCAGGGTCAGCTGCCTATCTGCCACAGGCCTTGCTTGGCACAGGACACTGGGCTGGGGGTGGTGTTGGTGTCAGGAGGGGCTGTGAGTCATTTCTGCTGTCCTGAGGTGGTGCTGTCCTGGTCGGGGGGGGGGGGGGGAGCGGGAACCCCCCTCTCCTGCCCCCCAGGGTGCAGCCACTGTTTACAGGTCCATGGGGCAAGTTTGAGCAGCACTGGGTGGATGTAAGTGCCAGCACCACGCCAGGCAGGAGGGGGGCATCTGGAGGGGAGGCGGGGAGATAGTTATTAAACACTTGGGATTGGCAAATAGCCTTGCCTGGCAGACATGCTGGAGAATGAAATGCGGGGGCTTGTTCCAGAGCTGGGGGGCTGGGCAGGGGTGGCAGTGATGGAAAAGGGACAGGGTGTTTGCTTCTAAAAGTCTAGGATGCAAAGTCTGAGATGTCCCCATGAGGGTAAGGGAAGGGGAGAAAGGGAGGGGCATAGTCTGGCAGGGGGCAGGTTCTGAGGCCAGGAAGGTGGGGTCCACCCCTGCAGGTTTGTTCCAGGAAGCCCCAGTGAAGCCAGCTAGCTCAAGGCACAAGTGTGGCAAGAACCAGCCTGCTAAAGCTGGCACCAGGGGTAGGCCTGACCCACCCAAGGTCAGCTACGTGACCCAGGGCCTGCCCTTCCGCTCCCCTCCCCAGGGGTTGGTGTTCTCATCTGTTTGTAGATGGGTGATGGGGATTTCCTTCCTGAAGTATATACAGGGGTCACCCATCATCTGAGCACTTCTGTCGAGAGGCAGGAGGGCTAACGTTCACTCCTGAATCACTAGGTCAGGACAAAGAGAAAGAGCATCGAGATGGTGGAGTGTTGGAGTACACGGAGCTTAGGTTTATCAGGTTGCACCCATCACAGTGCTCCCAAGTCACTCCCATTACTACATTTGTCTGTAACCATTTCTTTGTGCTTACTTCCCCAACCAATTTGTAAGGTCTCATCCTTCTAGGACACTGAACTTGTACTGCAAGTTAATATTGCCTTTCTCCTCTCCTTATGTCTTTTGAATAGTTTAATGCAATGTCCTTTTTGTATAGATACAGGAAGACAATTAATATTATGCTTTGTAACTTAGGAATTGATTGACTTTGAATATTATTCACTCCCGGGCATCTGCCTTCTCAACTTAAGCCTTAGTTGCCCTCACTTCCTAGCACCCCAAAAGCAGGGTCCCGACGTGGGACTGGATGGAACCAGGGCAAGCCGGTAAGTTATGTGCTACCCTGGCATCGAGATGGGCCAGGCCAAGGTGCCACGATTCTTAACTATAAGTTAAGAGTTTGATCATAGGCAAATGCTGTCATGATCCAAAAGTAACGACGAGACTAGGACCTTGCTGCTAAGAATAGAAGAGATATCTGGCCTGAGCACTACAGTCTGAGATTGAGATGGCCCTGGGAGATCAAAGTATTTCTTACTGTGTCCATACAAAATGATTTATATTATGTATGCTTATATGTTGGTTGGACAACGAGAGGAGAAACACATCCAGGGAAATCTGTTTTAGGGTGGGTTGATCTGCTAAATGAGAATCTGTCCTAGAAGCAGTTTTCCTGTGTGTCCTGACCAGCTTGGATAAGACTGAACTTTCTCCCCTTCAAACTGTCTCAATATACTGAAATCATTTACTGAAGGCAGTCCAGACCTCCAGCTCCAAAGGCTGGAGGGGAGAGGGCGGGTGCCAGGCTGCATCGGTGCTCCAAGTAGTCCGGCTAAGCAGAAGTTTCTGGAAGGCGGAGGTGCAGGAGAATGGCGCAGCTCTAGCTGGCTATTCTCACTGATCACAGAGAACTCTCTTGTGGGGGGTGGGGGTTGCCTCTGTTCCGAGGCAGAGAGCCCCCAGGCACTGCAGACCAGGCAGAGTTTAAGGAGACCCAAGACAGAGCTAGTTGACCTTTTTTGGTTTGTTTTTGGTTTGGGGGCCCTCCCAGAGATGCTCAGGGCTTACTCCAGGCTCTTTGCTAAGGGCTTGCGGTTGGTGAGTCTCATGAGGGAGCCACGTGAGGTGCTGAGCATCAAACCTGCATCTGCCACATGTGAAGCAAGTGCCTTGCCTGCTATACTATCTCTGGGCTCTGGCAGTTTATTTATTTATTTTGCTTTTTGGGCTGGAGTGATAGCACAGTGGGTAGGGTGTTTGCCTTGCATGTGGTCGACCCGGGTTCGATTCCTTCGCCCCTCTCGGAGAGCCTGTCAAGCTACCGAGAGTATCTCACCCGCATGGCAAAGCCTGGCAAGCTACCCGTGATGTATTCACTATGCCAAAAACAGTAACTACAAGTCTCACAATTTGTTGTGAGATGTTACTGGTATCTGCTCAAGCAAATCAATGAACAATGAAAGGACAGTGCTACAGTGCTTTTTGGGTCACACCCAGCGATGCACAGGGGTTACTCCTGGCTCATGCACTCAGAAATTACTCCTGGTGATGCTCAGGAGACCATATGGGATGCTGGGAATCGAACCTGGGTTGGCTGCGTGCAAGGCAAATGCCCAACTCGCTGTGCTATCGCTCCAGCCCTGAGCCCTGGCAGTTTAACTGGTGCCTCTGACCACTGCTGAGGCCGAGTCTGTTGAACCTTGAGATGCAGCTGGTGCCCAGGGCATCAGAGTACCAGACGGAGGTATATCCATCCCCTGGAGCGAGGGCCTGGCTATGCACTCCCTTCCCTCTCCCTGTGGACACGCCATAGACCCTGGTCTTGCCTCAGCTGGCCCTGGCCTGGGGCAGTAACGTTCAAGCTCTGGGCTGCTGTTGCCAAGGATAATTAGGCCCCAATTCCCTGTCTCTGTAGAGACATGCCCGTGGCCGGCTGGAGGAGCAGGAGGACCCTGGAGGGCTGGAGGTGCTTCTTTTTAACAGCTGGGGGGCTGGAGGCTGGGGTGGTGCGTGAGCAGCAGACTCAAGCTCAGGGGGGCAGGAACCAGCAGGACCTGCGGGCTTAGCTCCTAGCCCGGACCTTGCCCCAGGCTTGTGCTCAATGCCATCCCGTGTTTCATGAAAACACCCACCACTGCTAGTGACTCACCCAGTGCCAGGCCTGGGGAGAAGCACCCCACAAATGTTTTTTCTTCTAATCCCTGCAAACCCTTTGAGGTAAGAAGGCATCTGGGCTTTGCAGACGAGGAGGCTGAGACGGTGGAGCGTGGGTGAGGTCAGCTGAGCTCCTGCGGTCAGGCAGCCTCTGGGCGCCAGCCCCCCACCTCCACACCCCCCACCTTCGCCTGCTGTCAGTAACAGGGGGATGGAATGATCACCCTAGGCTGGGGAGGTAGGACAGGGGTCAAAGGGCTCTGATCCCTTGCCTGTAAATGGTTCCCCCGCACTTACAGGCGTGACCCCTGAGTACAGACAGGAATAGCCCCCGAATTCCTCTTGGTAGACCTAAGCACCCATCTCCCCCAAAAAAGAATCTGAAAAATGTTTACTCCTTGGGCTAGAGTGATAGTACAGTCGTTAGGGCACTTGCCTTGCATGAGGCGATCCTAGGTTGAATTCCTGGCACTCCGTTTGGTTCCCCTGAGCACTACTAGGAGTGATCACTGATCATAGAGCTAGAAGTAAGCCTTGAGCGCTGCCGAGTACGGCTAAACTACCTCCCCCCACCCCCTGAAAAGAAAAAAAAAAAACAAAACCTCACCCCAAACCCAAAAAGTAAATTACGTAAACACAGAGTGAAATAACACAGGATACAAACAAGAGTAATACTTAATAATCACCTCCTATTATTTCATGACTTTGTTTTTCTCAGACTCCTGAGGTTACTTATACATGCTGAATTGGGAAGGTGAGAAGATTATTTTATAAGGGTCACTCCCAAAGGCCCTGGAGGGTGGTCTAGGATCTCTCCCAGTAGTTCAGGCCATACCTGATGGTTTTGGGTGGTTGAACTCAGAGAGCCTGGATTGAACATGCCAGACGGGTGCTCTATAGCTTGAGTCATCTCAAGCCATCTCTGGCCCCAGACGAGAGAATATTAAGTAGCAAACTGCTACTCTCTGTCCCTCTTGGATGCTGCATTCCGTGACATCTGTTGGCAGTGAGGAAGTGGCTGTGGTGGGAGATTCACACCATGGCCATTGGCAGACACTTTAATTCTGGGCTGCCCAGCAGGAAGCCTGCAACTTAGCACTTTACAGCACACTATGGCTGAAACACAACCCATATCCTTCCCTAAATAGAACGAATTCTGCCTCTTGGACCCTCTGCCCCCAGCTTGGGCCTCCCCAGACAGAAACATGGGGCCACATAGTGGTCCTACGAACATCCCAAGCGACCAGGGTTGGACATAAAGACCAGTGTTGGTTTGGAGCAATAGTGTAGCAGGTCGGGCACTTGCCTTGCATGTGGCTGACCCAAGTCCAATCCCAGCACCCCATATGATTGCCTGAACCGCACCAGGACTGGTCCCTGAGTGCAAAGCCAGGAGTAAGCTCCAACATCACTGTGTACCCAAAAACCAAAAACAAAACTTCAAATAAGACAATGTCATAGAACAGAGACGGGCATTACTCTGCATTACTAAATTCTCATGCATATCAAGTTCTCAGGCTCTGCAGCTCTGTGCTCAGGAATCACTCTATGTGGGGTCTGGGGACCATATATGTGGTGCCAAACAGAACCCAGGTCAGTTGCTTTGCCTGCTGTATTATCTCCCTGGCCCCAAAATTCTCTCTCTATCTCTCTCTCTCTCTTTCTCTTGGGCCACACGTGGTAGTGCTCAGGGGTTACTTCTGGCTCTGCTCTCAGGAATTAATCCTGGCAGTTCTCAGGGGAGTAATCTGGGATGTTGGGAATCTAAACCCAGGTCAGCTGCATCCCAGGCAAATGCCCTACATGCTGTATTACTGCTTTGACCTTACATACTGTAGGTGGGCTTATTTAAATTCTCTTAAGTAAATACATACCCATCATATCACATCCCAAAGTCAGGAACCAAGTAGAATTGGATAGTAAGTGAAATTTGTATTTAGTTCTTCTTGGGGGACAAGGGAAGACAGAGTGGCGAGCAGTGCTCAGGACTTCCTTTTGGCTCTGTCCTCAGAGTTCACTCCTAGTGACAATGGGGAACCATATCTGGGGTCGGAGGAAGCTGCTGTGTGCAAGCCGAGCACCCTAACATCTGTACTACCTTTCTAGCCCAGAGTTCTTTTTGAACAGCAGGGAAAACAGAGAGCTGAAGTAATTTGTTTAGGGTTGCACAGCACCCCCCTATTAGGACATAGTTCTTCACTTCTTTGAGTAAATAGGAAACTCCTTCTTCCTCAAGAAGTCGGGTCTCTCACTATGACAGTGATAATGGGAAATGATCACTGGACAAGAGCCGACTGCTGAAAGGAGGTAAAGTGAGGTACACAGGAAACTTTCAGTAACATTATTGCAAACCATCATACCTAAGAGGGGTGGAGGGCAGGCTGGAGGGGGCAGAGAGGGGGGCTGGTTGGCAGGAGGGAAACTGGGGACACTGGTGGTGGTAAAGGGGGGCTGGTTGGCAGGAGGGAAACTGGGGACACTGGTGGTGGTAAATGTACACTGGTGAAGAGATGGGTGTTGGAATCCTGTATGACTGAAACCTAATCACGAACAACTTTGTAACTGTGTTTCTCATGGTGATTCAACTAAAACAAATCAAAACAAACAAAAAGTCAGGTCCCCCATCCCCGCTCCTGGCACGGGACCGGTTCTTACCCAAGACTTCAGGCTCCTCCTTCTTTGCCCTGCAGGTGGTGCTCTGGGTGGGCTCGGGGCAGGGCCCACCTGCGACGGAGGGGAGCAGCTGGAAGTTGGGGTCCAGTTCCAGCATCATGTGCTTGAGCGCGTCCAGGGAGAAGTCGAGGTAGGAGTCGAGGTCCTCTAGCGCCCCTGAGGCCTGGTCCCCAGGGGGCCGCACCAAGCCATTGGTTTTGGCTCCAGCCTGTGGAACCTGCTGGAGTCTGCCCGGGGGCCCCTTGCTGGGGGCGGGGGCCATCAGAACCTGAGCCCCCCAGCCTTCCGTGGTGTAGTAGGGGCACTGGGCCGGCAAGCTGGGCCGGGGGGCTGCATGGAGGCCTTTCCCGGGCTCCTCGCAGGGGGCCAGGCCAACAGTGGGGCCTCCTGCCAGGAGGGAGCTGGGCATCACCTGTGACATGCTGGGCTTGGGGACCCGTGGGGGACCCCACTTCCAAACAGCCTCTCTGGCAGCCCAAGGATGTCACGAGCCAAGCAGGAACTCCCGGGACCTGAAAAAGAGGGGCGTGGGATGTGGGGAGTGAATGACTTTGGTAGACAAGCCCCTGCTCTCCTCCCACTGCACCCCCAGCCATATTCACTCCTTTAGCTTAAACCCTGAGGCTGGAGCTGCCTGCCTGGCTGTACCCCGGCCCTGCCGCTTGACCATAGGTATGACACCGGAAAAACTCATTCACTTTTCCTGTTTCCCTGTTTGATGGGTTGGAGGTGCTCGGGGTCACACCTGGTAGTGGTTTTTGGGGAGCAGGATTCAAGCCAGTCTTGTGGGCACAGCTGCATGCAAGCAAAAGTTAATGCCCCCTCATTAACTTTTCTGGGCCTTCGTTTCCTTAGATATAAGTTTCATAAATAATATACACAGTTTTTTTTTCTTTTTGAGTCACACCCAGCAATGCTCAGGGGTTAGTTCTGGCTCTGCACTCAGGAATTACTCCTGGCGGCGGTATACACACAGTTACATATATAATATTTATAACATGCTGAGAACAGCCTCTGGCAGATAATAGACATTAAGCAAGTGATGCTTAGGCAACTTTTATAGAAGTTTACTGAGTATCTACTATATCCCAGGAAAATTTGTCTAGTAAATACTGGCTAATATTTACTGAGCAACTATTACGCACGTAGACACTGGCATTTACACAGGAAGCCTCTAGAAATCCCCATAACAACCTTGTGAGGTAGGTGCTACATTATCCCACTTTATAATTCAAGGTCTGAGACGTAGGGAGGAAAGCAATTTGCCCAGTGTCATGTAGCTGGCAGATGTCTCAGGGACCCTTGCACTTTGAAACTACACCATGCTCAGTTAACAGGAGAGAAGGAGGAAGTAGATGGAACTCGGTAGGTACTATCGGTAGGTACTATCGGAGCATCAGGGAGGATTTCCTGGAGGAAGGGGTATAGAAAGGGAAATGAGAAGGGGAAATAGAAATGAGGTGGAAAGGCAGGTAGGTGTGAAGAGGCAGATAGGTGTTGAAGATTAGGAGGGAGACATTGAGGGGAAACAGAGAGCGCCTAGTAAGTATAAAGGGTCAAGGGGGGGGCGAAAAGATAGTATAGCGGGTAGGGCATCTGCCTTGCACACAGTTGACCCGGGTTCAATCCTCGGCATCCCGTATGGTCCCCTGAGCACTGCCAGGAGTGATTCCTGAGTGCAGAGCCAGGAGTAATCCCTGAGCATCGCTGGGTGTGACCCAAAAAGCCAAAAAAAAAAAAAAAGATCAAAGGTTGGGGTGATATGAAGGTGGTGAGGAGGAAAGAGGAAAGCTGCCACTTCCTGCAGGTTGGCTCAAACTCTCTGGGGAATCACAGAACAGTATTAGGAGGGAGAGAAGTCATCTGATAGTCACTCCCCAGGGGCTCCCCCAGGAGAATGATCCTCCCATTTGTTCATTTCCGTCCCAGTGGGAAATTCTTTCCAGGACCTACCCTGAAGGTTCCAGGACAGGGGTAGGGAAGCACCGGGTTCAGGGGCCCGGAGGCTGCTAAGAGTTGTAGGGGCTGGGGCAGGCTTGTCATCCTATATACACTGCCTGCCCTGAGCTCAGTATAAGCTCCCCACCTCCACCCCTGCAATACTCTCCAACTCCAAGATGCCTCCATCACACCCAGATTTAGAGTCCACCCTGCAGACCTGGAAAAGGCTGCATGCAAAATGAATGCAAACATTGGGATCTGAAAATTTGGTTTAAAATTCCAGGTCAGGGGCCAGAGTGATTGTGCAGTGGGAAGGGTGCTTGCCTTGCATGTGGCTGACCTGGGTTCGATCCCATATAGTCCCCCAGGCATCTCTGAGTGTGACCCCTCCAAACCAAAACAAACAAACAAACAAACAAACAAATAAGCAGCTGATCTCTTCTAAATACTACTGAGGAAGAGGGGCCTGAGTGATCGCACAGAGGGGGATCCTACAGCGGGGAAGGCATTTGCCTTGTGTGCTGCTGACCTGGGTTTGATCCCCCTCATGCCCTGGGGCAAGCTGAAGAGTGTGTCTGTGTCTGTGTGTCCATATCGATGGGGGCCTTTCACCCTCCCCTTGCAGATCCGACTGAGATTTATTATCTTGGTCCCAACGGGCAGGGTGGGCAGGGCGGAGGAAGGGGATATCCTCAAACCTGGGCAAGTTCCCTTCTCTCTTTCATCGCTAAACGGCCCTCCTGGCTTGCTCCCACCTCTCTGCAAGCCAGGGTCTCCTGAGGGAGAAGCCAGGGGGAGGGTGAAGCCTAAGGGGGAGGGTAAAGCCCAAGCAAGGGACTGAGCCTCCCCCTCCCCCCGTGACTTCCTTCCAGATTCCAAGTGCCCTCGGTTGGGGGCAGGATCCTGGCGCACCCCGACTCCCAGCTCAGGGAACAGGACCTGGGACAGCAGGTGGCACCCTACAGCCCACCCCACCCCCAATTCCTGGGCTGGGGTCAGGCTACCAGCTCTGGGAGTAGGGTACCTGCTGGTCCCCAGCCTCTGCTTCCCCGGGAGCCAAGGGATGCAGCCTTGGTTCCCACAAGTGCTGGACTCCCCAGTCTGGAGTTCTTCCTGGATTTCTTTCCCGGGTTTTGGGGTCACACCTGTAGGTGCGCAGGGCTTAGTCCTGGCAGGGCTCAGGGGCCCCTCTGCGGTGCCGGGGGTGGGATGGAACCCCGCAGCACGCGCTCTCTCTCTCTCTCCGGCCCCCTCCCCGTGTTTCTGCACCTTCATTCCGAGCCCCAGGAAGGTTGGGGGCGCTGAGGACAAAGACCCCCCCGCAGCCCCGCGCCCTCTTCTCCCGGAGCGGCTCGGCTCCTACCTGGCGGGCGGCGGCGCTTTCTGGGCCAGGTGCAGCGGGCAGAGGCGCCCTCACCTGCACGGCCGCCTTAAGAGCGCCGGCCGCCCGCCCCGTCTCCGCCCCAACAGCACCGCCCCGCTCGCAGGTGGGGCAGGTGGGCGGGCAGAGAAGGGGAGAAGTAAGTGGTGTGTGTGTGTGTGTGTGTGTGTGTGTGTGTGTGTGTGTGTGTAGGTGGGGGTGGGGTTGAGGGGTGGGGGCGGTCCTGGCATCCCCTTCTCCGGGCGCCCCCCTACCCCCCCCAGGGAACCCAGACGCGGGTGAGCGCTGGGAGCGCTGGGAGCAGACACAGAGGAAGCTATGTGGTGTGGACAGGGCCAGTCCCTGAGGCTCCACCTTGGACTGTAGGGGGTCCGGGGTGGGGGGATGTGGTGGGGTGGGGGCGGTGGGGAGGGCTTTTCCCACAGTTCCCTCCCCTGCTGCTGGGTCACTGGGGCAGGCCTAGAGTAGGGCCTTTATAGCCACAGTGGGTAGGGCATTTGCCTTGCATGTGGCCCACCGGGCTTCCATTCCTCCGCCCGGCTCCATCGATTCCGATTCCTCTGTCCCTCTCGGAGAGCCTGGCAAGCTACTGAGAGTATCCTGCCTGCACGGCAGAGCCTGGCAAGCTCCCCATGGCGTATTCTATATGCCAAAAACAGTAACAAGTCTCACAATAGGAGACGTTACTGGTGCCCGCTCGAGCAAATCGATGAACAACGGGAGGACAGTGCTACAGTGCTATTTATTTTTTTGCTTTTTAGGTCACACCCGGCAATGCACCGATGCACAGGGGTTAATCCTGACTCTGCACTCAGGAATTACTCCTGGCGGTGCTTGGGGGACCATATGGGATGCTGGGAATCGAACCCGAGTCGGCCGTGTGCAAGGCAAACGTCCTACCCGCTGTGCTATCACTCCAACCCCTAGAGTAGGGCCTTTAGAGCTGGTTGGCACACATCTGCATTCTTCTCTCCCTTCCTCCCTCTTCCTCCTCCTCTTCCTTCTCTTCCTCCTCCTCCTCCTCCTCCTTCTCCTCCCACTCCTCCCACTCCTCCTCCATCTCCTCCTCATACACTTTCTCCTCCTACTTCTCTCCCACCTGTTCTTTTTCCTATCTTTCCTCTCCTTTTCCATCTCCTCCATGTCCTTCTCTGTCCTGCCTCTCTCCTTTCCCCCACTTGCTTCCCCCCCTCCCTCCCTTCTCCTCACTTGCCTGGGAACTGGTCTCCTGACTCCAGGGCAGCTGCGGGGGTCATTGCACACTTTCTTCACTTTACTCATCCCACCAGGGCTGGCCTTTTGCACCCCCCTGAGCCCCAAGGTAGGAGTAGGGATGATGGCAGGAAGCTTAAAAATCTGGATACCACCTTTTCTAGGCTGATGTATGCCAGGGGTCTAGAATATTGTGTGTGGGGGAAGCCTTGGGGGGTCACTGGGGGCAGAGCCGAGCCACCTGGGCAGGCTGACCTGAAGTGAGGGCTTCAAGGGGATCCCCGCAGTCGCCAGCCTCAGGTGGTGGCCGGCCTCCATCTGGGAGGTCTCTGGCCTCCATTTTCAGATGTCAGTTATCGAGTTCCCTCAGATGTGCTGTGGCTTCTCTGAGCTTGGACAAGGACATTCCTTCTGTTGGTGGCACACAAAGGTCTCTCTGGGTGCACCCCACAGGCATTGAGGGGAGCTCTGGAGGCCTGGGGACTTCTCTGGGGGATTCTCAGCCAGTTAGGCCGGTGGTTCAAGGCAGCAGCCTGGAGATTTGATGCTGCCTGGGCCCCGAGGGACCGGGAATTTCCCAGGCCACCCACCTTGCCTTGTACATGGTTGACCTGGATTCGATCCCTGGAATTCCATATGGTCCCCTGAGCACCACCGGGAGTGATCCTTGAGTATAGGCCAGGAATAACCTCTGAGCACTGCTGCATGTGGTTCTGAAACAAACAAACAAACAAAAAATATTTTTATTTTGGGGCCACACATGGGACTCCTGGATCTGTATTTGAGGTTCATTCCTGGTGGTGCTCAGGGAACCATGTGGTACTGAGAATAGAACCAGGGCTCTTGCGTGCAATGCCTATGCTAAGCCCGTTGAGCTCTCTTTCTTT